GTTTTTAATAATGATTGATTTTTAAAATGTAATAAAATATCGAAGGAAAGGAGGATACAATGTATTTAAACATTTTTGGTGGATAGAATGTACCAAGCAGAACCAAATTGGGTATTTGTTATGCTGAATGTTAATTTTACTAACTTAGGGGGAGGATAGAAAGGCATCATACTCTGATTAGTGATTTCAGGAGAAATTCTTTTTACTATAAGAAGAGATAGAGGGATAAATGAATGGGCAAAAGATACAAATTTAATGATTTAATTAAGATGGATTAAATAAGATAGAAATGTGAAGAGTGATATGTGCTATTATTTTAACCCATGCAAAGAGAGGTAACTGGGGCCAAGGTACTTTACTAAAAGATTTTTTTTATGTTTGTTTGTGTTTGTTTGTGTTTTATGAGAATATTGGGGAAATTATTGTAGAAAGACAGGGAAAGATTTAATATGTAATGATTTGTTTGTTGTTGAAACTTTTAATAAAACTTGTTTTAAAAAAAAAAAAAAAAAAAGGAAAAAAACAGCTATTACAAAGGTGTTAAAACATATGGAAGAGAGAACAAAGCCATCTTAAATCAATACTGCTTTGCAACAATTAAAATGCTAAAATACGTTTGGTGTAATGCAAACCTTGTTGTTTCTATAACTTGCCTTGTTTGTTTGTTTGATAGTTTTCTGTCTCAGTGTCTGATTATGAGAAGAAGAAAACCTTTGTAGCCAAATGTGCATTTACATTAGAGAGCTACTATCTGTCCTTTTTTAAGAAAATTCCACTGAAGGAATATGAACCTGAAAAAAATATTTGAAAGGGACATGAGTATATTAGTATGCAATATGGCATCACATTGCCATTAAAATATAAATAGGGGTTTATTTTAAATGTTTACTTTTTATAAATATCAGAGTGTGTCAGTCCTCTCTCCATTCTACTCTCTGTAAGTCACTCTCTCCCTTTAATAGATCCCTCAGTGTTTCAAGTGCATTACATGTGTCTAATCCATTTTGAAAAATAAGTATTATGAGATTTGAAATAGAAGATCTCTAGGATTATCCATGAAGTCGCTATTCAAGCAATGACAGGTTTGGGAAGAATTGTGTGCAAAGAACCTTTGGCAGTAACTATAAATTACATCAATAATGCATGGCTTTGTAAACAACAGATAAAAAAAACCTCAGTAAAATATTGAATACCATAAAATACGTTAGATTTCAGGATCTTTCAAGAGAGGTGAATATAACTAGCATTTTCAAATTTACGTGTTCAGAATCATATATGAAATAAACTTTAACTGCTGTAGGAATATATTTCTGTCTATACATATTTGTGAAAGCAGACCAAAGAAAATTAGGAATGTCCATACTCTTTGAAATACTTAAGAACTGCTAATCAGCTCAAAGGGCTATCTTGTTGAAAAATTTCAATCAAGCAGTGATCGCTCAGATACATGTAAGAAACCCGAGTGGGATATAAAAGCAATCACCTCTTTTATGTTTCTCCCTAGCAACAGGAATTAAAGGCAAACTGCCTTTGATTCTGGAGGTAATGTACAGACACCAAGATATTCCCAGAACTATTTTCCTAAAGTTTGTTTAGTCCCTTAAACAAAATAAACTCTGGATATGTGACCATCAGCATAACTGACACAGGATAATTCGATAGTTCATACAATGGAAAGAAATATTTTTTCTGAATGTGAATCATTCCATATTTAATTTCACTGGATGTTCCAACACTATGAAACAGGGGGAAGATCTTTCCTTTACACTCATTTTCTTAATTATATATTAGTGTATATTTAACTTTTTTGCTTTTTACTTTGCCCATTTTGCTGCAGGTTGCAATGTCCACAAAAGTCATTCCCCCCCTTAATCTTTAATCACTTTGTCCCATTCTACTTATCTCTCCAATTCTGTAACAATCCTCAGTCCACAATTATCATCAATGTCTGCATTATTACAAGTAGCCAGCCCTTCCAGGTAGGCTAAGTCAGAAAACATAACCTACTAGACTCCTCTGTACAGGTTTAATAACAGAATATTGAAAGCCTGACAAAGTTCATCTCTGCCCCTTTTATACCAGATAGATCAAGGTGAAATTATCTTCAGTTTTCCATATTCCCTCTTTTCCAAGGTCCAAGAGGTTGGTTATTTTCTCTTTTACTTACTAATGGCCCTTGTATGTTCTTTCCAACATTTTCTTTTTCTTTTGCTTCTACACTGGTTGCATTAGAGAATTTCATAAGGCCTTTGCTATCATTGCAATTTTTCATTCCAAGCCAAAACATTATTCCTATATGTTTTCAACTCAGATATATTCCCAAGGTGAATCTGCAATATACTATTTTAAGGCCACATTTTTAATGGCTGGCTAAAGGATTTTCTAATGATATATTGTTCCCACCACCATAAATTGTTATAAGAAAGTTGAAAATTCTGGTTCTTACTATAAACAAGTCATGAATATATTTATATACAACATTTATAGTCATACATTCATATGACATTAAAATATGAGAGAACATTTCATGTTTTCTAGTGCTTTGCTTGCCTGTTATCATGTGGAAAAAGCCTAACTTGAATAATGGTCTGAAATATTTCATTGATCCCTCTCCATTCTGGACAATTTTGGTTTAGTTTCCAAACCTTCTTTTATCTTGAAGGCTGTTGATGACCATTGACAGAGCGAGAAGGGAATGGTTAATTCATCCTTGCGGTCCTTGAACATTCAGAGGTTTTTGTGGTATACTGCAGGGGTTAGGAGTTGAAGCTATGTGTTTCACTGTTTTGCCTCCTTCCTCAGTGGTCACTTCTAGTCAGCGTGGACAAAGGGAAGAGGTTGGTTCTGCAGCCCCTCACTTGTGGGGTGACTCACATTCAACACATTCATCTCTTCTGTTTAAATTCTACATGAAGCTTCTTGGTGAAGTCATTCATTTGTTTGGGTTAAGTATTGGTCTAGCAAATGTTTTGTATGCCCTAGTTAGTAGTGTGATATTACCAGAGAAAAAGCTACGTAGGATTAGGTTAACAACTCTTTTTGGCTACATTGGGCTCTAGCACTTAGATCATTAGAGATGAGTACTCCAAGATCCTTGACAGAGTTTGGATCATCAGCAAGGTCTTGACGATTCAGCTTGTATTTTATTTTCTGATTTTTTTTGCCAATGTGTAAGACAGAGCATTTATTCGTTGAGATTTGAAGATGCCATTTGTTTGACCATTCTAATGCATAGTCAAGGTCTTTTTGAAGGGTAGCAGTATTGTCCTTGGTGTTGAATAGCTTTACATCATCAGCAAAGAGAACACAGTTTGTCTTAATATGATCACAGAGGTCATTTATGTAGAGTATGAAGAGAGTTGGTCCTAGAACACTGCTTTGGGGGACACCACTGTTGACAGGTACAGAATTTGATAGGAAGCTCCCAGTTCTGACCATTTGTTGTCTGTTTGACAGGAATGCTTCTATCCAGTTATGCAGGTGTCCAGAGATACATGAGATTCATGTGCTTATTTAGGTTTAATGGCAAATATAAATCCTAATCTGCACTGTTTCATAACCCTAACCCTGTTGTGAATTGCAAGTTCAATGGGCTCAGTACTTGCTTAAAACAAATACTGTGGTCAAGCTAAGGGGTCAAAAGCATTGACTTTAGGGAATTGTTTCCTTTTTCAATCAAACTCATATGCTTGAGTACCAGAAGAAAGACTGGGCCCTGGACGTCAGTGTGAAAAAAAAGTAGAGTGCCTTAAATAGTCTCTTACATGGTTTCCATGTATACTGAGATTCTACTAGAAACAGGGAATAAGTCTAATTTTAAAAATTAGTTTTAAAAAGGACCCAAATAATTTTTTGCAAAACTAAGATTACACAGGCACTCCACAATATCTCTTCCTATTGAGTTTGCAATTTCTTTTTTTTAAATATTATTTATTTTGTTTTATCACAAAGAGTAAAATACAAATCAAACAAGCAAACAAACAAAATAAAACAAAAGCATACATTCAACTTTAACAACAGCAAAAATGTGTACAAAAAAGAGGAAAAAGTGGTCAAATAAATTTCATATTCAGAATTCACCCTGGCTGGGTGCGTAAATAAAAGAAAAAGCAGTAAATTCTCTTTTAGACACACAGACACAAAGACACACAGACACACACAGATAACAGTCAACAGGTTAAGCTAAAATTACACTAATCTTCAAATCCCTCTATTAACATCATATATTTAGTTTGTACATAAATGGTTTTCAGTCTCTTATAATGCTATCTAGTCCATTATCTCTAATCAAAGCAGTTAATTTCATCATCTCTGCTAATTCAGTCAATTTCAAAATGATTTCTGAGTCTTGGAAAAAGTGGCAGATGTAGCAAATGGCATCTGCATTAGAAAATGCAAAAAGCTCAGATTTTTCCTGAGCCATTCCTTTGTTAATCAGAGCAATAGGTATTACACTTTTTGTCAGCTCTTCTGTTGGTAATCAAAGTATTCTGGAGAACCTTTCCAGAGCCATCGACCTGGTGATAATTCATTTATTGAGGCCAGAAGAGATGCCATCAACCCAGGCCAATCACTTGGCTTGATCTTTTCTTCTTTCTTTCTTTTTTGGGGTTCAGTTCCTGCATTTCAGCCAGAATTGTCATTGCTGAAAGTTCAGAAATAGCTGTCTTGATATTTTCTTACGAACTACAAGAATTAATAATGGATACTTATTGGAGCTAGATGGGCATAGTCTCTATTAGCAATGGTCAGTCAGATTGCCCCAGAAATAAAAGTACTATGTTCTATGTTCAGAATCAATTAGTTCTTCAATTAATAATTAAGAATTATACATATGAACATCCAGTTAATGAAAGGCAAAGGACACTTTATTCCACCATTGTTTTACTTCCCAAACTCTCAAATCTGTTTGAAAACTGAAAAATAACACTAAATAATCATTTCAAATCCCTTTAACATTTATAAACCACATACCCTCCATTCCAAAAAGTGCTACTTACCACTGTGAAATTCATTACTTTCAGGATCCATATTGTCATGGCTAAGTTAACGATCATGGTAACCAATAGCAAGAGGACAAAGAAGTATAAGCACCTCTTTCGCCAGCCATAAATCCCCACTGGATAAAGTTGAGGGTTTTCTGTTCTTGGCAGACTGTTTTGCTGTGTTGCTAATATATACTGTTCCCGTGTCATCTATTAGAAACAAGAAGAAGATTGCAAAGTATTAAATATTTATCTGTACAATTAAAATATCCTCAGTTTTTTTTTACTGAGCGATCCTTAACAAAACCCTGTTGGTCTTCTGAGAAAATGATTGTTTACACCATTAGAATTTATTTGGTCCAATTTTCTGAGCTGAGTCATGAATAAATATAGTATATAGTACACAATACTATATCCATTGGGCTGCTAGAAATAGAGTTTATTTATTCAACCATGTACAATGGTGGATGGTAGTCTACCTCATTAGGGGTCTACCAGCAGAAGTATATATATGTATATAATGACAAACAGGCTTTGATGTTTAGATGTTTAGGTATGCAGATTGAGGAACTCCTGCCTTGGGCTTTGATCATTTAGGTGTGCCCTGAAGATGGGTGAAGTCTAAGAAGGAAGATCCTCCCTAGGTGTAGATTATTATGAAGGGATCTGGCATCTTGAGGAAGCCAGTGAAATGCTAGTATGTGTGTTAGGATTGTATGCATTCAGCTGTTCAGAGGGTTGGTAAAAGGGAATGGGGCAAATTTCAGGCTTTTAGCTTCTTTTTTATGTAAATGCTAACAACACACAAAGCAGAGCTAAAAGAAACTAAATAACAAATGTGATTTTTTTTGTGACGATGACATGCATTTCCAGAAAGTGGATCCATAGAACTGATGTCCACATCTTGATGTCTATGCAGTTTCATTTTTTCTCATAACCTGACTAATTACCTACTACAAAATAAGTACCTATTGTAACTTACATCAATGATCCTGTCCCTTTTTGCTGTTCTTCTCTCTCCCTTATGCATCCCTCCCCTAAGAAGCTTTGTCATACTACTATTCACTCAATGGTTTCTCTGAATGACAACACACCATACGCCTCAGTCTAGACATAAAATTTCACAATAGCAAAATAAACTCCACCTTTAAATTTGAGCTTGATTCCTGCTTACTCCATGTAGAGATCCAGTTACTTTTAAAGTTAGAACATGGAAGTGGTTAGACACTGCCTACTTTTTAAAAATCTTCATTAGCAAGCCTACTGTTAGGAAGTTAAGTCACCTAACAGGTATTTGGGTTAGAAATATATAAGCCAGGATAGACATTTTAGTACTATGTCTCTTTAAGGGAATGCTAAAATGGTAATTGGGTGTGGTTCCTCAACCGGCCATAAGATGGAGCCAGAAACCTGGGTTGTTTAGTCTGAGTCTCAGAAGAGAGTGTGAGTGTATCTCTGTTTCCTTCTTTGGAAAGTATTGCAGTTGCTCCATTTTTCCTAATTGACTGATATTCCTGGATTTAATGTAAGTCTGTTACTGAACTGTTTTTTGACACTGGACTTTGATATTTGGATTATCCCTGGACTAAAAAACTGACTGATTTACCTGTGAATGACTTTGGATTGCTTGTTTGGACTTTGCTTAACATTTCTGGAAGTAAAACCTACATTTACTGTACAGTATATCTGTGTGCTGTGTGTGTATTATTCAAACACTACTCTCAAATACGTCTCCCTGTACGCGCTCATTCTCCTAATGGGGAATTACCTTAACACCTACAATCTTAGAGTTTCCTGATATATTCACATCTAAATATTGCCCAGGTCAGATCTTGTTGCTGCTGTTGTTTTTATATCAACCTAGATCAACTCATTTACCTACAGCTTATATGAATCACTGCTGCAATGTGACCTGAACCACAAAATGTTCAGTGTGACCTGAACCACAAAGTCAAAGATAATAAAAAAAGTTTCTTCCAGCATATAAATAACAAGAAAAAAATCAAGGAAGCAGTCGGTCCACTAAGGAGAGAAGATGGCAAGGAAGTAACAGCCAACAGAGAGAAAGCAGAGCTGCTTAACTCATTCTTTGCATCGGTCTTCATGCAAAAACAAACTATAGCTCAACCCACCAAAACATAACTGTAATAGACAGACCAGAAATAAAAGTTAAAATAAGCACCAAAAAAAAAAAAAAATAGTAGGAGAACACCTCTCTGATCTTGATGAACACAAATCACCTGGGCTTGACGGATTACATCCCAGAGTTTTAAAGGAGCTGGCAGAGGTCATATCAGAACCACTGCACCATATCTTTCAAAAATCCTGGAGCACTGGACAACTACCAGAGGACTGGATCCCATCTTCAAAAAAGGAACAAAAAATAACAGACCCAGGAAACTATACACCAATCAGCCTAACATCAATACCTGGGAAGATACTGGAAAAGATAATAAAAAACAAAAAACAAATCTGCCAACATCTAGAAACAAGTAAAGTAATAAGTAGCAGTCAGCATGGGTTTGTTAAAAACATATCATGCCAAACCAATCTCATTTCATTCTTCAACACATTGATTAAATTAGTAGACCAGCAAAATACTGTGGACATAATATATTTAGATTTCAGCAAGGCATTTGACAAAGTAGACCACAACCTACTTTTTGGTAAGATAGAAAAAAGTGGGATAGATAGTACCACCACCAGATGTATTCGCAACTGGCTGACAAACCGTACTCAATGAATAGTCCTTAAAAAGTCTAAGTCTACATAAGGAAGTAAGTAGTGGGGTGCCACAAGGTTCTGTTCTAGACCTAGTACTCTTCAATATCTTCATTAATAATATAGATGGTTTGAATAGAAGGGGAACTTACCAAATTTGCAGATGATACTAAGCTGGCAGGAATAGCTAACACACAAGAAGATAGGCTCAAGATCCAGATGAATCTTGACAGACTAGAACACTGGGCCACATCTAACAAAATGAAATTCAGTGTAGAGAAAAGTAAAGTCCTACATTTAGGCAAGAAAAAACAAAAGTACATATGTAGACTGGGTGAACCAGGCTTAATAGCAGTTACTGTGTGAGGTCTCTTGGAGTCTTAGTGGACAACCAGCTAAATATGAGCCAGTAGTGTGCAGCAGCAGCCACCAAAAAAGCTAATGCGATCCTAAATTGCATTAACAGAGGGATACAATCAAGATCAAGTGAGGTACTAATACCACTCTGTAAAGCCTTAATAAGACCACACCTAGAGTACTGCATCCAGTTTTGGTCACCACACTCTAAAAAAGATATTGAGGCTCTAGAAAAAGTACAGAGAAGAGCAACCAGGATGATTAGGGGACTGGAGACTAAAACATATGAAGAACGGTTACAGGAACTGGGCATGGCTAGTCTAGTGAAGAGAAGGACCAGGGGAGATATGATAGCAGTGATATTTGAGGGGCTGCCACAGAGAGAAAGGGGTCAAGCTATTTTCTAAAGAAGGCCAGACAAGGAATAATGGATGGAAACTGAACAAGGAGAGATTTAACCTGGAAATAAGGAGAAACTTTCTGACAGTGAGAACAATCAACCAGTGGAACAGCTTGCCCTCGGAAGTTGTGGGAGCACTTGAGACTTTCAAGAAGAGACTGGACTCCCATCTGTCAGAAATAGTGTAGGGTCTCCTGCTTGGGGAGGGGGTTGGACTAGATGACCTACAAAGTTCCTTCCAACTCTGTTTATCTGTGGTGTAGGCCAGTGACTCTGTAGTGCAGAGTTGTCAAAATCACGTTGTCACAGCAGCAGCATGTGACGTATCGGAACTTTTTTCCCCTTTGCTAAACTGGGTGTGGGCGCAGCCAGCATGTGTGGGCCAGGAGTTTTACAGCCCTGCTGTAGTCAGTCTTAAAATTCAACATCACAAAATCCTTTAATACATCAGATGTCTGTTCTGTCTTTGATTCTTTTACTCCCCAAGATTCTTTGAGAAACAGACACGAGAGATGCTACTGCCGCTTTGTTTAGCAGTGTTCTCAAACTATTTTAAATCATGAGATAAAGAGAAAATGGTGGCAATACTGCAGATGGTGTGGAAGAGAAATACCACATATACTATGAAGTAAGCACAGAAAGAGGAGAGAGATAACAGGAAGAGAAAAGAAGAGATGAAACATGCAACAAGGATGCATATAGCTCCAAGACGCTTCAATTCCCTAGTATTGCTACTACATGACATTTAAAAATAAATAATTCAAACCTTAAACCCTATCATTATATTCTGCAATTTGCAACAGTGTAATTAACTCACTTCACATTAAGTAACTGCTGTCAGAGAATATAAACTACAACAAAAATCTTGCAAGACTCCAACTTTAAGAATTCAGTTTCTTAGCCATAGAACAGACATAAGTAATTGTTACAGTTCAGCCTGAAAGATAATGGGTCAGCTAACAAGTCTCCCTTAATATTGGTTGAGGCAAAGCCGGTCAATAGGCAACTAACCTTTCATGAATGTGAAAAGGTAGGAAATAGGAATGTAATTGGACAGAATCCAGAGTACAGCTCCAATGTCAATTTGCAAAGTTATTCATATTTGTAGATGCAAACATTCACAACAGACTCCTTGTTATAAAATATATTTATTCAACCAAAGAACAGAAATGATCATTTCACATTCTGAAGCCATTAATTCTGCAGTTATTTAAACAAATGAGACAACTTTGAAATGAAGGATTTCAGAATTACATGCAGTGTTAAAATCCAATTTTTGCAAAACACAGCTGCCGCAAGCCTGATCCTATTATCTGACAGTGAGGTCACTATTTGGTTTGGATGATAGTAAATGCTTTTCTGTCAGAACAACCTTGTTAATTTTTCTATGTGCATTCAATTTTATCTCCTAGGGATTCCTCCAGTGCACTAACTAGTGGGTGATTTCCCATGACTTAAAATAGGGAATCCATGACTACCGATAATGAAAAATTTGTTTGGTCCACATTTTTAATTATGATCTTATTTCAACTTCCAAGATCTATCTATGGATCAGGGCAAAGCCATTATCCAAGTGTTGCTGTATAATTTTTGACTTAAAAATAATTTACAAATAGTGTATTCTAGTATATTATACATATACCCCCAAGGAATTATCTCATTTGCTTTTCATTCACAAAACGAAGAAAAATGTGGTGGAACAATTGCATGCACAGAAACTTGCCACAGGCTG